GGGAAATCTATTGTGGATATGAAGGCCAATTTGTTAAAATACTAGTAAACTGAATTAATCAATATAGCAAGAGGATCATATACTACATCAAAACTCACAGTCTGAGAGTGAAGGCTAATTTAACATCAAAAGCATTAGAAAATCAATATAAAGCATGATATTATCCGATGGAAATAAAACATAATGTAATTATCATAAGTGCAGTATAAAGTGATAAAATTTGACACTCTAAAATATTTGACTAAATTTAGCATTAATTCATGTCATAAAATTCTTAACAAAGCATAGATGAAAGGATTTTTCCTAATGTAGTAAATGGTATTGCATAAAAATCACAAAGTGAAACCTTGAAATCTTTCCCTTTGAGATTGGAAGCCAAGTGTCATCACTTGTGTCTGATATTGTATAGCATGATTAGAAGAAAAATAGAATGTAAAGTCTAAAAGTTAGATAAAACAAAAGTAGAATTCACAGATGATAGGCTTAGTAAAAGAGTTAAGAAAGATGACCATACAAAATCAATAAACACTTCTTTATTATATATATTAGCAACAAGTGGTTATAAAATGAAATAGTCTCAAAGATAGTATATTTATAATCCCAAGTCCAATTAATATGTTTGGAAGTTCAGCCAGGAAATTATGGTATTTCAATACCATAAAGATCTTGGGACCAGCATATGGTGTAATGGTTAGGTCGCTGGACTCTCACATAGTTGACTGAAGTTCAAAAACCAGACCCGTGGCTTAAAACGCACACCCAGCAAATGTGCATGTGTGCCCACGATCCTGAGAGGAGAATGAAGAAGGGATAGTGGCATGGCCATCGCCATTGGGGGGTAATTTCTTGCTTTCTCTCTTTCTGCGATTTCTTTCTGCTATATCTCTTGGTCTCTCCAGTGAACACACATGCCTGGTAGCAAAAATCTCTCTCTTAAAAAAAAATAGAAACCATAAAGACCTAAATGAATGGACAGAAATTCATCGATTGTCCAAAAGCATTCAATCCAAGTTGAAATCCCAACAATTTTTTTTGTTGTTTCTTTGTTTTATTGAGTGTTGAAAAATGTCAAGTAGATTTCACAGGCCACATGTAGCCAATACATATTTCTCTTGAAGAAGAGCAGTGTGAGCCTTTGCCGTACTAGGTATCAGGTCTTCTCATATAGCTGTAGTTAATTAGACGACAGGGTCTCAATGCAGGGAGAGGTAGCAGATCAAGAGACTAGAACACTGAGCTCAGTAACAGCCCTTTGCATAAATAAACTTGGGCTCTCTTATTCTTTCTCCCTTTTTAAAAAAATTTTGATTTGTGACCAGCAGTTAGTGTAATGGCTATGTTGCTGGACTCCCACGTAGTCGACTGCAGTTCGCATCCCAGACCTGGTGGCTTAAAACTCACGCCAGGCACGTGTGCATGCGTGCCCAAGATCCCAAGAGAAGAATGGAGGAGAAGAGATTGCGGTGTGGCCATCCCCCCTGGGGGGTGATTTCTCGCTTTCTGTCTCTCTGTCTCTCTCTGTCTCTCTGGTGAACGCATATGCCCTGTAGCACACACACAAAAAGAAAAAAAAAAAAGACTCCAGCAGATTGTGATGGGCAAGGTTCAGCAATGGGGAAATCTTTAAAACACACACACAAGCATTAAACCTCTACCATTTAAATATATAAAGAGCTCCTAAAAGTAAATAATAAAAAGACAATGCTATTGGGACCAGCAGTTAGCGTAATGGCTATGTCGCTGGACTCCCACATAGTCGATCGCGGTTCGAGTCCCGGACCCGGTGACTTAAACTCACGCCAGGCGCGTGTGTGTGCGTGCCCAAGATCCCGAGAGGAGAATGGAGGAGAAGGGATTGCGGCATGGCCATCCCCCCTGGGGGGTGATTTCTCGCTTTCTATCTCTCTGTCTCTCTCTGTCTGTCTGGCGAGCGCATGTGCCCTATAGCAAAAAACCTCTCCAAAAAAAAAAAAAAAGACAATGCTATTGATAATTGGTCCAAAGCTTTAAACAATGCTGGACTGAGGTGTGTATCATGCTGGGTAAACTCTCTTCACAATCTAAATGGTGTATAGCGATTTAATGTATGAATAATAATAATAATAATAAAAAAATATAAATAAAAAATAAAATAATTAAAAAACCAAACCAAAACAAAAAAACAATGACACCACAAGAGAGCAAATAGTAATGACCAATAGCATCAGAAGGTGCTCTACCTTGTGGGTCATCAGGACAGTGCAGTAGAAAGCCATAGGACATCCAAGTGCTATCACCAGAGGCCAGTGACTGACAACACTAAAAGCGGGCAAGAAGTGAAACCTCGGGATCTCTCAGGCACTGCAGTGAGAACATGCCCTGCACAGTCACTTGGGAAGACTGTACCATGAGTGAGGTTGAGTGTGCACAACTGTCATGACCTGCAGTCTGTCCCCTGGAAGAACATGTGCATAATATCCCTCCCTACCTGAAATAGTGCCAGAAATAGTGCCAGAATGTGTTCAAAAGTTGTAGTTACTTTTGTTGAGTAAGGAACTTGGAATTGTCAGGACCAGCAGATGGTGTAATGGTTACGTCGCTGGACTCCCACGTAGTCGACCACTAGTTAAGTCCCAGACCAGGCAGCTTAAACTCATGCTGAGCATGTGTGTGTGTGCTTGCCCAAGATCCCGAGAGGAGAATGGAGAAGGGATTGTGGCATGGCCAGCCCTGTTGGGGGGTGATTTCTCACTTTCTGTCTCTCTGTCTTTCTGGCAAGGGCATGCACCCTATAGCAAAAAACTTTCTTAAAAAATAAAAGAAAGAAAGAAACTTGGAATTCTCCAAGGTATTGAATTTAGAAAAAAACAAAAGTGGGATTCACATATGGTATGATTTATCTGAAAAATAAATGATTACTTATTAAGGGAGTTAAGAAAGATGATCATATATGTGATCAGCAGATGGCAAAATGGTCACATTGCTGGACTCCCATGTAGATGACCGAGTCCTGGACCCAGTGGCTTAAAACTCATGCAGGGTGCCTGTGCATGCATGCCTAAATCTCAAGAGAAGACTGGAGGAGAAGGAATTGCGATGAGGTCATCCCTCCTGGGGGGGAATTTCTTGTTTTCTGTCTCTCTGGTGAGCTCACGTGCTCTTTAGCAAAAATCTCTCGTTAAAAAAAAGGAAGAAAGATGATCAAACAAAATCAATATAGAAAATGCTTCTATAGCTATGTACTAGTAACAAGTGGTTGTAAAGTGAAATAATCTCAAAGATAGTATGTTTATAATCCCAAGCCTAATAGAATATATTTAGAAGGTCACACAACTATACAGAGCCTGATGAAGTGTCTGTTCCCCATTTCTCCTTCTCTGTCCCCTGGCTTTCTGGATTTAAGTGGTAATCTGATTCTCTTTGTCCCTCCCTGTCCAGAGCCCATAGTGGTGTTTGCCAAGGAGCAGCCAGCTCTCAGAGAAGTGCAGGCTGAAATGGGAGCCAGTACCACACTGAACTGTGAGGTGGCCCAGGCCCAGACAGAGGTGACTTGGTACAAGGACGGGAAGAAGCTGAGTGGGAGCTCCAAAGTGCGTGTAGAGGCCACAGGCTGCACAAGACGACTGGTGGTGCAGCAGGTCAGCAAGGGGGATGCTGGGGAGTACAGCTGTGAGGCAGGGGGCCAGAGGATCTCCTTCTGCCTGAATCTCACAGGTGGGTACCAGGATGGGGCAGCAATGAGTGAATTCCACTGACAAATTGGGGAATGGAGATTTCTGTGCAAGGCTGTCTCTATCCTGCCTGGGTTTGGGCTAATGCTGTGTTCCTTGCTGCAGCTTCCCAGCCCCCAGTCTCTCTCTACTGCCTGAGATCCTTGGGTCTGAGGATGCATGCTGGAGCCCCTGTCCAAGACATTCCAGGTGTCTGCTTCCCTAGTGTCCCATGCTTTCTGGCCACAAGCCCCCCTCCTGTATGAAACCTACAGCAGAAGCTTAGGAGGCTAAGGCATAGGTCTGTGGAAGTAGCCATTCTCCAGCTGGGGTCAGTGAGCAGATTCTTTTCCCATTGTAAGGTCCACTGGGGATGCTGTGGCTCCCAGCCCTGCTCTCAGGAGTCTCAGCCAGAGTCATCTCTGGCCTTGAATGTTCTTATGTTTAGCAGGTCTGGGGTCTCTTTCTCCAGTCTTGTAGTCCAGCTGCCCTGAGGTCAGTCCTATGGCATGGTCCCAGCTCATAAGCTCATCCTGACCTGCTCCTGGGCCATACTACCCCCTTCCACAAATGCTCCCAGAGTCTCTCTACCCTTCTCTCTGTCTAGTCCTTTCTCCACTCCTGAGGGTTTGCTGTCTGTTCTACATATACAGCCATGCTCCCAGGAGGGCCAGCAGGAGGAGCCCAATTCTCCTACATTGCTGACAGGATCCTCATTAGACTGATGAAATCTTTCATCATCTTCCTGGCAGTGTAGGTCCCAAACTGGCTGGGACTGTGGCCTTCTTGCTGTTCTTGTCCTCGGGTGTAGCCCTTGCTTCCCTGTCCGCCACCCTATGGCCAGTGTGGTATTTTTAAGTGCCTCCTTGGGTCAGAATTTGCATCCCAGGACCTTTGCCCTCTCTCTTTTTGGCCTCACACTTTGACCCTGGGTGTCAAGTCTTTGTTGATGGGATCCTGCCATGCTTAGTCTGCCTTTATGAAATGCCTACCTAGTCCCTAGGCTGGAGCATCCTGCTCTGCACTGCTTCCTGCATTATCTGTGCCTGGACTAGTGCTTCCCTGAAGAGCAGGCCCTTGGATTCACAGCCCATAGATGGGAAAGAGCTCATGTCTTCCTAGGCCTGTGGTCCCAGGCATACCCCCTGAGATCCTGGATGGCGGTCGATGGGCGATGTGTGGCCCTGCTTTATTTATACTGGCTCAGCAGAGAAGGACTGACAGACAAGCTGTTGCATGGCAATGGGCACGTGGGTCCATGTTGCTATAGGTCTGCTCTTCATGGGGAGGGCAGAGTCCAATCCAGAGACATCAAGGTCCCTGTTCTCATACCAACTCACCTACCTTCAGAGCCAGAGCCTGAGCCTCAAGTCTTGGAGAGACCTGGTCGCAAGGAACCTCTGGTGGTCAGGGAACATGAGGACATTGTCTTGACTGCCACTCTGGCTACACCCTCTGTGGCTGCGGTGACATGGCTCAAGGATGGGGTGGAGATACGCCGCAGCAAGCGGCATGAGACAGCCAGCCTGGGGGACACCCACACCCTGACTGTGCGCGGTGCCCAGATCCTGGACAGTGCCATCTACAGCTGCCGTGTGGGCACCGAGGGGCAGGACTTTCCAGTGCAGGTGGAAGGTGGGCCAGGGCTTCAGGGGAGGGTTCATCTGGGTCCCCTGTGTCTCAGAGGAGGGCCAAGGGAGGGTTCAGGTCCTGGACAGAGCCCAGGCTGATGTCCACTTCATGCCCTCAGAGGTGGTCACCAAGTTCTGCCGGCCTCTGGAGCCTGTGAGTGGAGATCTGGGTGGCGCAGTGACACTGACCTGCGAGCTGAGCCCAGCACAGGCGGAGGTGGTGTGGCGTTGTGGAAGCACGCAGCTCCGGCCGGGCAAGCGCTTCCAGATGGCAGCTGTAGGGCCGCTGCGCTCACTCACCATCTCAGGCCTGCGTGAGGAGGATGCGGGAGAGTATGTGTGCGAGAGCCGCAATGACCGCACCAGTGCACAACTCACTGTCAGTGGTAAGCAGTCTCTGGGTAGGGTGGGGCACTGAAGGCTGGTGGGGAAGGCCTGGCAGAGGGGCCACCATGCCTCCAGGGCCTTCCTGGGTGGTTTTGTGGAGGAGGGGTCCTTTGGTGTGTCTGCAAGGTGGGATTTTGAAGAGTCCCTCCTGGCTGCCTCTCAAGCAGTGCTCCCATCCACAGTGCCCCGCGTAGTCAAGTTCAGATCTGAGTTGAGTGCGGTGGTTGCAGAGGAGGGCTGTGAGGCCACCTTCCAGTGCGTGGTGTCCCCCAGCGATGCAGTGGTCACATGGTATCGAAATGGTGCCCAGCTTCAGCCCAGCGAGAAGTTTCTCATATCACAGAGCGGTGCCAGCCACAGCCTGACTATCTCGAGCCTGGTGCTGGAGGATGCCGGCCAGATCACAGCAGAGGCTGAGGGTGCCTCTTCTGCAGCTGCCCTTCGGGTCCGAGGTGCGTGTTGGGGGGTGGAGGTAGCCAGACCTCTGGGTCGGAGATGGAGGGCAGGGTGCACTGAGCTCCTTGCAGCAGGAGCCTCTCCCTTGGGCTGGTCTTCAGTAGGCACTGAGCGCTGCTCTCTGGCCAGTCTGAGTGGCCTCAGGACGTCCATCCAAGAGAAGATGTGGATGGGCCAGAAAGGTCAAGTACCTTCTCATTAGGGAAGATACAGTCTTACAGGCATACTTGGTTGGAAATGGGTGGAAGTTGAGGTGGTCCAGGGAGGCTGGAGGAGGTGGGCCCCGGTTGAGCCTGATGGGTGATGAACTGGGAAGAAGTGAGGTTGGTAGCTGGTGTTTGCAGAGGCAAGAGGGTAAGGATGAACTTAGCATGCTACTGAAGTCAGAGAGCCAGAATTTCATCTGAAGGAAAAGTGAGAATTATGGCAGGTTCTTAAGAAAAGGAGTGGTGTAAACAGATTCACCTTCTGGGGAGATCCTTGGCAGTGTGGGGCTGGGAGGCCCACTGTAAACTGATTCTCCTTCTAGAGTCTTGTTAAAGCACAGATGCTGATGCTGAGGGTCTGGAGAATTCAGAGTTGGCCCCTCTCCGGGGTCTGAAATGGGACACTGCTGGCCACTGGCCACAATTACGAGTTCCCGGCTTGGCAAAGTTCATAGCAGGGAAGCAGGAGGTTGGAGGACTGTGACGGGAAACCTTCATGGTCTTGTTTCCACTCATAAAGTCTGACCTGTGCAGATGTGGGACTGGGTCTGAGTGTGGCCAGGGCCTCACCCAGCTTGGAGTCAGAACATGGGAAACTGGGTGGGTCCTCTGTGTCCTGGCTTTCCCAAGGGGGCGATGCAGCCCTGGCCTCTTCTCTTCCATGATCCCAGAGGCACCAGTGCTGTTCAAAAGGAAGCTTGAGCCGCAGACAGTGGAGGAGAGGAGTTCAGTGACGCTGGAGGTAGAGCTCACACGCCCCTGGCCGGAGGTGAAGTGGACACGGAATGCGGCCATCCTGGCATCAGGCGAGAACGTGGAAATCCATGCTGAGGGCGCTTGTCACCGGCTCGTTCTACACAACGTGGGTTTCACCGATCGGGGCTTCTTTGGCTGTGAGACGCCAGATGACAAGACGCAAGCCAAGTTGACAGTGGAAAGTGAGTCTTGGAGTTGGTGGGTGCTGGCTGGGCCCAGGGATTGAGCATTGAGGAGGAGGGGAGGAAGAGGAGGGAAA